GGGAGGTGCAGGGGGCTTGGGGTTTGAGGATGTCTGACCTCTTAGTGGCCTCGTGCGTCCCTCTGGGCCTTGCACACGTGACATCAGGGTAGTGTGTCCCTGGGATCCTGCATCCACTCAGGCACCCTGAGTCTCTTAGGGCCTTATAGCACCAGTGTCCCCTTCCTTCTTTTAAACTCTTTTGATCTCTAAGTCTGACCTCCAGGCTCTGCAAAGGGGCTAGAGCCAATTTGAGAAGCTCCTGTTCCTGGCAGGGATTGCTCAGAGGTTTTCCTGGTTATGTTTCTTATGTAGGATTGTCCCTGTACATGCATATACACGCATATGTAATACTTATGTCCATGTAAGGCACACATGCAAACACATACATATGTGCACCCAGAGTTGCAGAAGATGGGTGGGTAGAACAGAGCCAGAGAGGGCGTGAATTGAAGAGACTGGAGACACGGGTTCCAGCCTTAGCTCTGATCATCTGTAACATGAAAAGATCATGTCCTTCCTCCATCTTTGTGTCTTCTTTTGTGACTCGATGGAATTAGGTTAAATGTCTCAAGGCATCTTCTTTCTGTGATCTAGGTACAGACATATTACAAAGACATGGGGGATGGGCACTGGGTTCGGAGGCCGGGTTTACAGTGTTCAGTTCCTCTGGCTTTGGAGGCAGATAGACCTTGTTTGAGTTGTGGTTCTGCTGCTGTTAGGCTGTGTGACCTTGGACAAGATATTTCATCTCTCTCATCCATTAGCTTATCTTTTAATTTTTTAAAATTATATTTTATTATTATGCTATTACAGTTGTACTGATTCTCCCCCTTTGCCCCTCCACCTAGCACCCCCCACCCCCTCAGGCAATCCCCCACCCTTGTTCATGTCCACTGGTCATGTGTGTAATTTCTTGGCTACTCCCTTTCCTATACTGTACTTTACATCCCCACGGCTACACTGTACTCTGTAAGTACCTATTTATACTTCTTAAACCCTTCACCTTTCACCCATTCTCCCACACCACCCCTCCCATCTCTTTAACCTTTGGTATTTGAATTATGATGTGTCTTGGGGTGGGTCTCGTTGTGTCCATCTTGCTTGTGACTTTCCATGCTTCCGGAACTTGCATGTCTATTTCCTTCACCAAATTAGGGAAGTTTTATTTCATTATTTTTTTCAAATAGATTTCCAATTTCTTGCTCTTTCGCTTCTCCTTCTGTCACCCCTATGAAGCGAATGTTGGATTGCTTAAAGTTGTCCCAAGGGTGCTTACACTATCCTTGTTTTTTTTTTATTCTCTTTTCTTCTTGTTGTTCTGATTGGTTGTCTTTTCATTTGCTCATCTTTAGGGTAAAATTAACTAAACTTCATTGTGTCAGGATTAAGTGAGGTGATTAATGCAACATTGCTGATGAGGTAGAGATGAGACATTATTACTGGTCTTAGCTCTGCCCTGAACTCACTGAGTGACCTTGGGTAAACCAAATGAGGTTTTCTAGATCTCAGTTTCATCCCCTGTAGATAGGAATTTGGACAAGAAGATCTTTATGGCACCTTCCTTTACCATCTCTTCACACACACACAGCTCAGAGAGGGGGTACTATGCTGAATGGGGCTATTTGGGGATTCACCACATGGGAGCTAGCTGAACCTATTTTGAATAAATCACAGAATTATGCTGCTCTTTAGGAAAAAAGTCTAATCATTTGGACCTATTTCCCATTCTCAATCCCTTCCCTCCATCTGTTTTTTATTTATAACTCTTTTATTTATTTATTTAAAAATATTTTATTTATTTTTAGAGAGTTGTGAAAGGAGGGAGAAAGAGAAACATCAATGTGTGGTTGCCTCTCAGGCGCCCCTCCTGGGGACCTGGCCTGCAACCCAGGCACATGTCCTGACTGGGAACTGAACCGGTGACTCAATCCACTGAGCCACACCAGCCAGGGCTATAACTCTTTTAAATTGGAAATTGCAGAAATACTCAACATCAGAAACCTGGAAACAACCTAAGTGCCCTCATTCATGTTCTACTCACAGCTTTTCTACGATGTATATATTTGAAAAATGTGTGCTGACAACCAGAAACATACACTTTTGACCAAATTGCAAATTTAAACTATTGATAGAAACATTTCCAAATGCATAAAAGGCATAATTTGTTGAAAATAAATCATACATTTAAAAATATCAAAATCTGGCCCTGGCTGGTGTGGCTCAGTGGATTGAGTGCCGGCCTGCAAACCAAAGGGTCACTGGTTCGATTCCCAGTCAGGGCACATGCATGGGTTGTGGGCCAGATCCCCAGTAGGGGGCGCATGAGAGGCAACCACACATTGATGTTTCTCTCCCTCTCCTGCTCTACAAATAAATAAATAAATAAACAAACAAATAAATAAAATCTTAAAAATATCACAACCTGTTTAAACAAATTCCATTTTATCTTTTAATGTTTTATATGAGTAGTCTTTATGATCGATGGGTCAGAAATATATTTAAAAAACACAAAACAAAAAGAAAATAATAAACATTCCAAGTTTATTCCATCCAGAGTCTATCATCATTAATACTTTGGTGTATATCCATTTTAATATCTATCTATCTGAACATATATTTTATATTGAGAACTCATTGTTTTTTACTTTGCTTTTATCGCTTAATAATATACTGTGAACACATTTTCATGTCAATAAATTAACTTTTTAAAATAAAAACTTTCTTTTAGAATAGTTTTAAATTTACAGAAAAATTGTAAAGGTGGTAGTAGTATACCTTGTTCCCATGTGCCCCACCTCCAGTGTTCTATATTGGTAATATCTTAAATTAGTATGATACATTTGTCACAATTAGTGAATCAATATTAATATATTATTATTACCTAAGATCTATACTTTAATTAGATTTCCTTAGTTTTTTAAATCTTTTTTTTTAAATTCTTACCCAAGGACATTTTTTTCTCATTGCTTTTAGAGAGAGGGGAAGGGTAGGGGAAGAAGAAAGAGAGAAATATCAGTGAGAGAGAGAAACATTGATTGGTTGCCTTCCATATGCACCCCAACTGGGGACTGAAACTGCAACCTAGGTATGTGCTCTGACTGGGAATTGTATGCGCAACCGTTTGGTTTGCGGGATGATCCCCAATCAACTGAACCATACCGGACAGGGCAGATTTCCTTAGTTTTTGCCTAATGTCCTTTTTTTTCTTCCAAGGTACCACATTACATTTGGTTGTTGTGGAAGGCCCTTTTTTTGGATGACCTTGAGAGTTTTGAGAAATACTGGTCAGATATTTTGTAGCATGATTCTCTACTAGAATTTGTCTGATGTTTTTCCTATAGTTAAACTGGGCTTAAGGTTTGTAGAAGAAGGCCACAGAGATGATATGCCATTCTTATCACATTATATCAAAGGATTATACTATCAACACGGTTTGACACTGTTGATGTTCATCATAATCACTGATCGAGGTGGGGTTTGTCAGGTTGCTCCTCTGTAAAGTTATTCTTTTCCCCACTTTTCCCAGAAAGTCACTATGTGTAATCCACACTTAAGGAGTGAGGAGTTATGCTTCTCCTCCTTGAGAGTGGATTCTCTACACAAATTATTTGAAACTCTTAATAAATCATTTTTTTTGCGACAAGAAAAGAGAGAAAATAACCCAGACAAACAAGAGGCTGCCTGAATTAGAAGGATCTCCATAGAACATTAAACAGGAGGTGAACCTATATCAAAGAAGTCTTCTTTCCTGGTTAAGTGATACACATAATTCAAAGGACCAGCACTTTCTAGTTTTATTCATTGGACCATTAGTGCTCAAAGCATATACTCGGGTCTCCCCTGTCATTTCCTGCTGCTGGGTGTCATTTGCCCCAGGGGAGATTTGGGTGAGTGTTTCCTGTTTCTAAAGTCTTCCTCAGCAGCTGGGGAGAAGGTTGAACCCATGGACTAGGTTGGGAAGTTCTACTGAAGTCAGACTTGTTACTATTTCAGCAGTTTCTTTTCTTTGAGCATTAGTACTGTGGGTTTTTTTTTTTTTTTTTTAACAAAAGGATGTGGAAAAGTGCTCTCCTTAGTTTCCAGGAGAGAAGTGACCTAGGGACTAATTCTGGGAGGGGGCCTCAGGCCTGGGGCAGCCTATGGGCAGTGGACTGAGCAGTTCAGCAGATAGGAGCTGACGAGGTTAGTGGAACACTTGGTTTCTGATCCCAGCTTCATGCAGACCTTGCCTAAGGACCACTGGGTACATCCCAGACCATTCTGCATTGTGGTCTCTATTGTCCTTGGTGTGGTGACTCCAGAGGACAGGCCTGATAGCAGGGAATTCAGAGGGGCTTAGGCAGTAGCTAGGGCAGTAGGAAACTGTTTCTCTCTGGTTATCAGACAAAACTCCTCCCTCCTTCTAAAGCTTCCTTGTCTACTTTCGCTCCCTATCCCCTGCTCTGAGCCTTAGGCTCTTGCGGGGATTGAGCTTCTGTGACATATTGTCAGGGAGGGGCATTCTGAGGGCCATGGGGACCCATCTGCAGGTAAAAGCTGCACCTGCCTCCTCTCCATAGCCTTTGTTCCTGTGTCTTCTCTTCCTCTCTCTTGCTCTTGTTCTCACTCCAGCTTTTCCTCTGCATCATGGTGGATCCATGTTTCTTCCAGTCTCCTTCTGCCTACTTTATTTATTCTGTCTGCTCACTCACCTTCCTGCCCACATTCTCCACCACTTTCTCAAACAGACCTATTCTATTGGTTACACCTCTTTGCTGCTAGAACCCAGAACTTCAGTGGGTGGGACCAACCACCCTGTCTTTCCAGATCCCAACCTTGAGGAAGGTCTGCCACTCCCCACCAACTTCCCTAGTTTATCTTTTTTCTGTCCTGATGGTTTTTTCTGGGAAAAAATTGCTAGCAGCCCAGGTGCTCACCCATCTGATTCCTGTTAATTGGGATGTTCTTGTGGACAATTCCACGCATTTCCTGCTGCAGCCAGAACCCTCCCTTGGCCCCTTCTTCCAGTCCTAGGGAATATGGGGGGTGGCAATGGCACGGCAGTAACTGAGTTCGTTTTGCTGGGGTTCTCGGGTTTTGGTTCCCTTCGGGGCTCTCTGTTTTGGGTGGTGCTCTGCATCTACCTGGTCACCTTGCTGGGCAACTCCCTGATCATCCTCCTCACACTGGCCGACCCTGCCCTGCACTCGCCTATGTATTTCTTCCTTCGCCACTTCTCCATGGTGGAGATCCTCTACACCACAACCATCGTGCCCAGGATGCTCGCCGATCTCCTCTCCTCCTGCCCCACCATCCCACTTGCCAGCTGCTTCACCCAGCTGTACTTCTTTGCCCTCTTTGGCATCGCGGAATGCTGCCTGCTCACCGCCATGGCCTACGACCGCTATGCTGCCATCTGCCGGCCGCTACATTATGGCACCCTGATGAACCGGGGCGCGTGTGCCCGTATGGTGGGGGCCTCCTACCTCATGGGCATCATCACCGGCACCACTCACTCCATATTCATCTTCACATTGCCCTTCCACAGTGCCAACACAATTCATCACTTCCTGTGTGACATCCTGCCTGTGCTGAGACTGGCTAGCACAAGCACCTTCTGGGGTGAAGTGGGCAATCTTGCTGTCACGATAGCTTTTATCCTGACCCCCTTCTTACTGATCATAGCCTCCTACACTTGTATCCTTACCACCATCCTTGGGGTCGCGACATCCCAGGGACGTCAAAAAGTCTTCTCTACCTGTTCCTCCCACCTGTTTGTGGTCGTGCTTTTTTTTGGGACCGGGACTGCTGCCTATATGAAGCCTTGGGCAGGCTCCTCTCAGCATGCGGACCAGATCCTTGCCCTCTTTTACACAGTTGTCACTCCCATGTTCAACCCTTTCGTCTACACTTTGAGGAACAAGGAGGTCACAGGAGCAATGAGGAGGCTCGTGAAGAAGTACGTTTGAAGCCCTTGGTCCTCTCAAGTTCTTAGACATAAGAGCCTGATTCTTGGATACTTTCAAGGAGGAGGGAGAAGCTGGGAACTGCAGTCCTTGAGGAACTGGCCAGCTGTGTGCAGCATGTGCGGGGTTCCTTGGCCTGCCCAGCTTAAGGGCCCAACCCACTGACATGCTGCTCCGTGCTCTGCTCTAGGGCCTGTTCTTATGGCCTTGACCTGACTTGTTTATAGGGACAGAGCTGGAGAAACATGCACCTGAGGGAAGGCAGCTGTGACCATCTTGTGTGATGACTGAGCAATTCCTGGTCTTTTCTGATGCTCAGAGTACCTTCCTAGGGACACCAGTCTTCCTTCTTCTCCCAGAACCCTCATTGCAAGCCCCTGTCTCTCCTATCAGTTACCTCTGATATAAGGAGATCTCCTTTACTCCAGATATGAGGCCCGACTAGGTGACCAGGGAAGCAGGGAAGGAACAGGGGTAGGGAGTGACTGGCCTGGCTTTGGCAGTTTAAGTACATCTTGTTTGGTTCTGCTTTAGGTCTGGAAGCATCTACTTGCTTTGTTCCTGACTTACCGCTTCTCTCCTGAACCCCCTGAAGCACTATTCTCTACCTAGCTTCTCTCTCGCCTGCTGGCTGACTAGCTCTTCATTTCCTCCTCTGGCCATGCAGTAGAAAGGCTCGCATACCTTTCTCCCCTGACTGATTAGAAGGTTGGATCTGGCCCCTAGACTCTCAAGATAATGCTTTTGTTTCTTGCAAACTGTCCCCTATTTCCACTTGGAGTCCACTTTAATTCGCTGACCAGAGGGATCTAGCACCATTTTACTTTTCTTGGGAAGGCAGTTCTTGCTTGCTCATAAACTCTCCTTCAGCAATAAGCCTCAGGAGGAGGCAAGACAAGCTGGGAAATCACTCTCAAGGTACAATAAACGAGGACTTTTAAAACAGCATTGATTTTATTTTCTAGTTTACAAAACTAGCAGAGATTTTGTATCCAGAAGAAAAGAAAATGACTGTTAACATCTTGATGTTGATAGTGTCCTTGGGAAATTATACCAGTTTGTTTTGCCTCTATATAGTATGTGTATGTATACATGTTTTTAAGAACTAAAAATGGGATTGTATTGTCTAAATTGTTCTTTAACCTGTGTTTTCTACCTCATTAAGCTATATTCTCACATTTATTCATACAAGTAGACTTCTAAAGCATGATTTTAATATCAATATTGTATCCTACTATATGAATGTACCATTATTTATTTTTACATATTCTTTATTGTTAAATTTTTAACATTTAAGTATCATTTGTATACAATATTGTATTAGTTATATAAATTTCAGGTGTACAATATAGTGCTATAATTTAAATCAGTCTCCTATTATTGAAACTAAAATTTGTTTGTTATAAATATTGCTGAGACAGATATCATTGTACTTATATCTTTGTATACTTACACTTTTCTGAGAACAAACTTCCAAAGGTGGAACTGTTGAGTCAAAACATATGCACAGTTTTAGAACCTCAAGATATGTTGCCAAGCTGCCCTCCAAAAGAATTTTGATTGTTTTGCAGTCCCATTGAGTGCAGTCCAATTTCCAGAGCAAGGAAATGAACTAAAAGTCAATGATGAGTTGGGGTCAGATGGCTGGGATGGGGTAGTATGGATAGTTAACATTCTTATAACCCAAAAAAGATCTGATAAAGGGGGCATGAACTTACTTTCTTTCAGTCTGTCAAGGACTGAATGAGATATATCTTTGGACTGAGAGTGCAATGCGAGGCATCAAAGTTAGGTCCAAGGAAAGACTTCCTGAGAGAGTTGGTATGTGAACAAGACAAGGGGAGAGGCTTTTCCCTCCATTGTTCTGAGCTGAGAGAGGAGGCCAGGAGTGTACATGAGGAAATCCGACTGGCTCAGCCCTAGGTGGCTTCATGCTTCTCTCACCTGAGAGCATGCACGGCGAGCTATATGCTGATCCTTGAAGTGGTATATCGTTGTGTTTTTAATTTGCATCTCTCTGATGGCTGGTGATGTTGAGCATCTTCTCATATGTCAATGGGACATCTGTAAGTCCTCCTAGAAGAAGTGTCTATTCAGATCCTTTGCCCATTTTTTAAATTGCATTGTTTGTCTTGATGGTGTTGAGATGCATGAGTTCTTTATATATTTTGGAGATTAAACCCTTGTCTGAGGTGTCATTTGTAAATATGTTCTCCCACAGAGTTGGTTCCCTTTTCATTTTGCTGATGTTTTCCTTAGCCATACAGAAGCTTCTTATTTTGATGAAGTCCCATTTGTTTATTCCTTCCTTTATGTCCCTTGCTTTAGGGGACATATTGGTGAAAATATTGCTGCGCGGAATATTTGAGAATTTCCTGCCTATGTTTTACTCTAGAACTTTTATGGTGTCACAACTTATAGTTAAGTCTTTTATCTATTTTGAGTTTATTCTGGTGTGTGATGTAAATTGGTGGTCTACTTTCATTTTTTTGCTTGTATCGGTTCAGCTCCCCCAACACCATTTAATGAAGGGGCTATTTTTACTCCATTGTATGCTTGTGCCTCCTTTGTCAAATATTAATTCACCATAGAGATGTCGATATATTTCTTGGCCCTCTATTCCATCCATTGATCCATGTGTCTGTTCTTATGTTAGTACCATACTGTTTTGATTACAGTGGCCTTGTAGTATAGTTTGATGTCAGGTATTGTGACTCCTCCTACTTTGTTCTACTTTCTCAAGCTTGCTGAGGCTATTCATTCAGGGTCTTTTTTTTTTTTTTTTTGGTTCCATATAAATTTTTAAATTTTAATTATATTTTATTGATTATGCTATTACAGTAGTCCTGATTTTTCACCCTTTGCCCCACTCCATCAGGCAATCCCCTCACCATTGTTCATGTCCATGGGCCATGTGTATAAGTTCTTTGGCTATTTTATTTCTTATACTGCACTTTATATCCACATGGTTATTCTGTACCATGGTTGTTCGTACTTTTAATCCCCTCACCTCTTCACCCATTCCCCGACACCCCAGTCCCATCTGGTAACCATCAGAATGTTCTTTATATCCATGATCTGTCTCTTCTTCTTGTTTGCTTAGTTTGATTTTTAGATTCAATTGTTGATGGATATGTATTTATTGCCATTTTATTGTTCATAGTTTTGATCTTCTTAAGTCCATTTAAAATTTCATGTAATAATGGTTTGGTAATTATGAACTCCCTTAGTTTTTTTTTTTTTTTGGGTCTGGGAAGCTCTTTATCTGCCCTTTGATTCTAAATGACCGCTTTGCTCTGTAGAAAAATCCTAAGTCCCTGATTTTCGTGTCTTTGAATATTTCTTGCCAATCCCTTCTTGCCTGCAAAGTTTCTTTTGAGAAATCAGTTGACAGTCTTCTGGATACTCCTCTGCAGGTAACTAATTTCTTTTCTCTCACTGCTTTTGAGATTCTCTCTTTATCTTTAAACTGTGGCATTATAATTTTGATATATCTTGGTGTGGGCCTCTTTGCATCCATCTTTTTTGGGACTCTGTGCTTCCTGGACTTGTGTGTCTACTTTCTTCACCTAATTAGGGAAGTTTTCTTTCATTATTCTTTCAAATAGACTTCTAATTTATTGCTCTTTCTTTTCTCTTTTGCCACCGCTATGATGCAAATGCTGGTTTTCTTGAAGTTTTTCCAGAGGATGCTTATACTGTTCTCATTTTTTTTGGTTCTTTTTTCTTCTTGTTGTTCTGATTGGTTGTTTTTTGCTCCCCAAGTTCCAAATCATTGATTTGATTCTCAGTTTCATCCACTCTACTGTTGTTTCCCTGTAAATTGTTCTTGATTTCAATTAGTGAATTTTTTGTTTCTGACAGGATCTTTTTATGCTGTTGAGGTTCTCAGTAAGTTCTTTGAGCATCCTTATAATCAGTGTTTTGAACTTAACATCTGATAGATTGCTTATCTCCATTTTGTTTAGCTCTTTTTCTGGAGTTTTGATCTGTTCTTTAATTTGGGCCATGTTTCTTTGTCCTCCATTTTGGCAGCCTCCCCATGTTTGTTTCTATGTATTAGGTCGAGCTGATTTGACTCCATGTCTTAGTAGTGAGGCTTAATGTAGGAGGTGTCCTGTACGGTCAAGTGGCACCACCTCCTCCATCACCCAAGATGGGTATTCAGGTGCAGTCCTTGTGTGGGCTTCAGGTACTTTGTGAGTACATCCTCCTTTTGTGGTTGAACCTTGGTTGCTGTTGGCAGATCAATGGGAGGGGTTAACACAGGCCAGTCAGCAGCAAGGACTTGCTGTGACTGCTGATCACCACCCTTTGCCCTTGTGGAATATCAGCTGTGCATGGGCAGGGTGGTGGTGTTCCAATGTGGTCTGTAGCTGTCCACTGGGTGTCAGGCTCTGGGGTTTCCTGGACGGTGCAGGGCAAGGCCAGCCCCAACCTGTGTTTTTCTTGGGTCACTCTTCCTGTGCTATAAAGCAATCTGAGATGGCTGCTACTTGTTCTGGGCTTAGAGATTCCCAGGAAAAGCCAACCTGTGAACCTAGGCTGGCTGCTGCTAGTGCTGATCCTGGGGCTCACTGATTCCAGCCGTTGCTTGTTTGAGAGGATTTGGGAAGTTGTGAAGCATGAGCTAATACCAGCTATTCATATGGAAAAGGAGCTTGGGTATGCCCATAAGCTTGGGATGGAGTCTCTAGGGATCTCCAGGGTGGGGAAAACAGCATTAGCCTGGTTGAGGGAGTCTTAGATATGGCACCAGCATGCTGACTCTGTGGGGGAAAGGTTCAGAAAAAAGGACAGTAGCCTCTGGTTGCCTTGATGCCAGCCACTGCAGATCCTCTTGTATGACACTGTTACCCTAGTGCTGTAACTCAGAGGGGGTGAATCTGAGTAGATGAGCCTGTGTGTGGGTCTTTAAGAGGAACTGCTTGGGGTTCCAGCAGTTTCTTCCGCTGACACAGTCCCCACTGGTTTTTGCAACCAGAAGTTGTCGGGACTTATGT